TCCCATTCCTGGTGCGATCCCCAATCCCCTCTCCCGCTGTTCCCATTCCCGCTGTTCCTATTCCCGGTGCGATCCCCAATCCCCTCTCCCGCTGTTCCCATTCCCGCTGTTCCCATTCCCGGTGCGATCCCCAATCCCCTCTCCCGCTGTTCCCATTCCCGCTGTTCCTATTCCCGGTGCGATCCCATCCCCTCTCCCGCCGCCAGGGGGTGTCTCTGTCTCTGGCTCCAGGGGAGCTCCTGGCCGTGCTGGCGCCCCCTGGCGGCGGGAAGAGCTCCCTGGCGGCGGCGGCGCTGGGACTGCGCCCCCTGGCGGGCGGGGCGGTGCTGCTGGACGGGACCCCCCTGAGCCCCCGCGCGGACCCCGCCCTGCGGCGACAGGTGACACCCCCGGGTCACCCCGGCTCACTATGGCCACCTGCACAGCCCCACTGCCACCTCTGAATCACCCCGGGTCCCCACTGCCAGCCCCTGTCACCAAACACCCTCTGACCCACCCTGTGCAGGTCCTGCCTTGCAGTGACACCCCAGGCCACCCCTGAGTCACCCCAGATCCACAGTGCTATGCCCGGGTCACCCCTGGGTCCCCAGCAGGTTCCCACTGCCACCTCTGGGTCACCCACATGTCCCCTGGGCCACCCCGGGTCATCAATGGGTCACCAGTGGGTCCCTGTGGCCACCCCCAGTTCTACAATGGGTTCCCAACAAGTCCCCACTGCCACCCCAGGCTCACCAGTGACTCCCCAGTGCCACCCCTGTGTCACCAGTGGTCCACCATGGTCATCACCATGTCACCCTATACCCCTCATGGGTCCCCACTGCCACGCCTGGGTTGCCTGGTGTCCTCTGCTGCCACCCCGGGGTCACCACTGTGTCCCCAACAGATCCCCATGGCCACCCGCATGTCACCAGCCAGCCCCACCATGGCCCTCCCAGCGCCCCGTGTCCCCAGGTGTTCCCTCCTTGTTCCTGCCACTGTGTCCCCCTGTCCCAATGTTCTCCATGTCCCCATGTCCCCCCATATACCATCATGTCCCCCCATATACCTCCATGTCCCTGTGTCCCCTTATGTCCCCTGTCCCTGCAGGTGGCCGGTGTCCCGCAGTCTCCATCCCTCCTGTCCCGCTCCCTCAGTGCCAACATCACGCTGGGTTGGGGACACAGGGAGGGGATGCAGGTGACACAGGTGACAGCGGCGGCACAGCGGGTGGGGGTGCACACCTGGGCCACACGGCTGCCACATGGCTACGACACAGGTAAGACAACGTGTTCCCCTGGTGTCCCTGCCATGTCCCTGTGGTGTTCCCAGTGTGTCCCGAAGGTATCCCTAGTGTGTCCCCATAATGTCCTCCCACCATCCCCAAGGTGTCCCTGTAATGTCCCCACAGCCTCCCCACCATGTCCCACTCTGTCCCCTCCCTGTTCCCTTACTGTCCCCATGGTGTCCCCTCACCATCCCCAGAGTGTCCCTATAGTGTCCCCATAGTATCCCCACAGTGTCCCTGTGGTGTCCCCTCTCTGCCTCCTTGCTGTCCCCTCACTGTCCCCCCTGTCTTCCCAGAACTGGGAATGCAGGGAGTGCAGCTCCCCAACACGTCTCCAGTATCTCCCCATGGTGTCCTTATGGTGTTGCCATGGTGTCCCCACAGTTTCTCCTCTGTCCCCAGAAGTAAGGGGGGAGGGGTGATCCCCACAGTGTGTCCCCAGCATCTACCCAGCATGTCCCCATAGTGTCCCTAATGTATCCCTGTGGTGTCCCCACTGTGTCCTCATAACATCCCCTCATCATACCCATAGTGTCCACTTACCATCCCCACAGTGTCCCCACGGTGCCCCCATGGTGTCTCCTCGCTGTCCCCTCCCTGTCCCCTTACTGTCCCCAGAGGTGGGTGCACAGTGGGTGCAGCTCCCCAGTGTGCCCCCAGTGTGTCCCCAGTGTGTCTCTATGGTGTCCCCATGGTGTCCTCTCTGTCCCCAGAGGTGGGCCCGCGGGGGATGCAGCTCTCGGGGGGGCAGGCACAGGGGGTGGCGCTGGCCCGGGCCCTTCTCAGGACCCCCCGGCTGCTGGTGCTGGACGAGCCCACGCGGGCGCTCGACCCCGTGACCCGGTGCCAGGTGGGTCACAGCACTGGCCCTGGTCCCTGCGTCCCCTGGCCCCATGGCCCCATCCTTTGGGTCCCCTGGGTCCCCATGTCCCTTGGGTCCCCATCCCCCATGTCCCTGGGTCCCCGTGTCCTCCAGGTCCCCAGTCCCCGTGTCCCCTTGGTCACTGCCTCTCACGTCCTCTGGGATCCCCCGGGTCACCACATCCCCTGGGACCCTACCCCCAAGTCCCCCATGTCCCCTGGGTCCCAAATCCCAGCATCCTATGGGTCCCCATGTCCCTTGGATACCATGTCTCCTCATCCCCCGGGTCCTCACATCCCCCATGTCTCCTCGGTCCCTGTGTCCCTACATCCCCTGTGTCCCTACTCCCTGTGTTTCCATAACCTCTGGGTCCCCACATCCCTGGGTCCCTGGTCCCCGTGTCCCCTGGATCTCCATGTACCCCCTTTTCCCTTCCATGTCCCCAGGTCTCCTGTGTCCCAATGTCCCCACATTCCCTGGGTCTCTGCACCCTGTGACCCCCATGTCCCCATGACCCCAATCCCTGTGTCCCCACTCCCTAGATCCCCACTTGTGTCCCCCCTGTCCCCCCACCCAGGGGTCCCCTGACACCACCATGTCTCCCCACACCCCAGGGTCCCCCCAATGCCCCTGGGCTCCCACCGTGTCCCCCGTGTCCCCCCTGACCCCTCCATGTCCCCACAGGTGGAGCAGGAGCTGCTGGGTCCTGGTGGCCTCGGGGCCGGGGAGGGGCCAGCGGTGCTGCTGGTGACAGGGCAGGTGGCCCTGGCCCGGCAGGCACCGAGGGTGGCCCTGCTGGAGGGGGGGCGGCTGCGGGAGCTGGGCAGCCCTGGGGAGCTGGCGACACCCCCCTGGGAGACAGCAGGGGACAGCGAGGACACCTGGGAGGGGGGGGGGGACACTGAGGACACTGGGGATGGGGAGGGGGACACTGGGGACAGTAAGGGTGGGGGACACTGAGGTGAAACAGGGACACGGATTAGGGATGGGGACACCAGGAGCTGGGCTGAGGACACTGGGGGTGGTGACACTGGGGATGGGGACATCAGGGACAAGGATGGGGACATGGGGGACAGGGAGGGAGATACTGCAGATAGGTTTGGGACACTGAGGTGGCATAGGGACAGTGGGATTAGGGATGGGGACACGGGACAGAGATGGGGCCACCAGGGACAGGGATGGTGACATTGAGGTGGGATGGGGACACTGGGGACACCAGGGGCTGGCTGGGGACACAGAGATGGGTTGGGGACACTGGGGACAGGGATGGGGACACCAAGAGGTGACATGAGGATACCTGGGGCTGGGATGGGAACAGCAGGGACAGGGATGGGGACACTGGTGACACAGATATGGGGACCCCGGGGTGGGGCAGGGGACTGCGGGGCCAGGCCTGTGACAGTGACCAAGTGTGAAATCAGTCAATAAATCACCAAATCAATAAATCGATGGATCAATCAATAAACGCGGCTAGAGGAGGGCAGAGCCGGGACCCCCGTTCCTCCCCCCACAATGGGGCCCCTCCCCCTCCCTCCCCCATCGCCAGCTGGGCCCCCCCGCCCTTCCCCCCCCATGAGCTCATCGTGTTGATGGAGAAAATTCCTTGGCGGGGGCGGGGGGTCACGGGGTGGGGGGGAGGGGGGAACACGGGGAGGACACGGGGGGGGGACACAGGGGGGTCACGGGGGGGAAAGAGGAGACACGAGAGGGACACAGGGAGAGGAAAACGGGGCGGACACGGGGGGAAACGGGAGGGACACGGGGAGAGGGAAGGGGGGAGACACAGGGGGACACGGGAAGGACATAGGAGGGGACGTGGGGGAGGACACGGGGGGGCCGCGAGGGGCTCCCCCAACGCTGCCCTGCCCCCTCCTCCCCTCGGCTTTCGGGGGGTCCCAGGGGCCCCCCCGCACCCTCCCCGCTGTTGTTGTTGCTGCCGGGGCGGTGAGTCACGGCCACGCCCGGACTGGGGGCACTGGGAGCACTGGGAGGGGCCGTGCCGGTGCACTGGGAGCGCTGGGGGAACCTGTGCTGTGTTACTGGGAGCACTGGGATGGGCCATACTGGTGTTACTGGGAGGACTGGCATGAGCTGTGCCACGTTACTGGTGTCACTGGGAGCACTGGGATGACTGGGAGCACTGGAAGCCGTAGGGCAGGTGGCACTGGGGTTATTGGGAGCACTTGGCCAGGCTGTACAGGGGTTAGTGCTGTTTCTGGGAGCATTGGGACAGACTATACTGGGGTTACTGGGAGCACTGGGGTGGGCTGTCCCATGTCACTGGTGTTATTACTGGGGGCCATGGGTCAGGCTGTGCTGCATTATTGGTGTTACTGGGAGCACTGGGACAGACTATACTGGGGTCACTGGGAGCACTGGGGTGGGCTGTGCTACGTTACCCGAGTTACTGGGAGCACTGAGACAAACTTTACTGGCATTACTGGGAGGACTAGGCCTGGCCATACTGGGATTACTGGTGTTTCTGAGAGCACTGGGACAGACTATACTGGGGTTGCTGGGAGCACTGAGATGGCTGTCCAGTGTTACTGGTGTCACTGAGGTTACTGGTGTCACTGGGATGGGCCATACTGGTGTTACTGGGAGGGCTGGGATGGGCTGTGCCACATTGCTTGTGCCACTGGGAGCACTGGGACAGACTATACTGGGTTGACTGGGAGCATGGGGAGCTGTGGGGCAGGTGGCACTGGGGTTACTGGTGTTACTGGGAGCACTGGGACAGGTTGTGCTGTGTTACTGGGAGCACTAGGACAGCCCATGCTGGGGTTACTCATGTTTCTGGGACCACTGGGACAGACTATACTGGGGTTACTGGGAGCACGGGGATGGGCTGTGCCGCATCACTGGTGTCATTGGAATGGGCCATACTGGTGTTACTGGGGGACGTGGGTCAGCCTGTGCCAAGTTACTGGGAGCACTGGGGGCTGTGAGGCAGGTGTCACTGGCGTTACTGCTGCTATTGGGAGCACTGGGATTGACTGGGCTTTTTTACTGGTGTTATTGGGAGAACTGGGATGGGCTGTCCTGCAATACTGGGAGCACTGGGTTGGGCTGTGCTGTGTTATTGGTGTCGCTGGTATTACTGGGAGCACTGGGACTGACTATACTGGGGTTCCTGGGAGCTGTGGGTCAGCCTGAGACACGTTACAGGGGTTACTGGGAGCACTGGGAGGACAAGCCCCCATCAGCAACTGTTTGGTTTCCATGGAGATGTCCCAAACACGGGCGGGGGCGGCTCCCCTGGGAGGGGTGGGGCAGGTGTGGCCCCGCCCCTGGCCCCGCCCCCCCCCCCCCCCCCGCGACCCCGCCCGGCCCAGAGCGAGAACCCAGCGGGACCAGCCGGAGGTACTGGGGGCACTGGGAGAGACCGGGGGGACTGGGAGAGACTGGGGGGATCTGGAAGGGACTGCGAGGGACTTGGAGGGACGAGGGGCAACTGGGGGAACTCGGGGAGACTGGGGAGACTGGGGGGATTAGGGGCAGTGAGGGGCACTGGAGGCACAGGGGAGGGACTGGCAGCGACTGGGGGGGACTGGGAGGGAAAGGGAGAGACTGGGGGAACTGGGAGCGACTGGGGGGCACTGGGGGAAATGGCAGGGACTGGGGAGAACTGGGAGGAACGGGGAGAAACTGGAGGTATTGGGGAAACTGAGGGGACATAGGGGGTCGCTGGCAGGGACTGGGAGCGACTGGGGGCATTGGGAAACACTGGGAAACACTGGGAGGGACTAAGGGAACTGGGGGGCACTGGGGAGCCCTGAGGAGGAATGGGGATCTGGGGGGCACTGGGGGGAGATTGGGAGGACTGGGAGAACTGGGAGGGACTGGGTGGCACTGAAGGGCACTGGGGAAGACTGGGGTGGCATGGAGGGGACTGGGGGAACTGGGGGACTGGGGTCTCTGGGAGCTTTGGGGGGCACTGAGGGACAGTGGGAGTTACTGAAGGGGATTGGGGTGCACTGGGGAGGACTGGGGGCCTGGTGGACACAGCGGGGGATTGTGGAGGACTGCAGGGACTGGGGGCACCGGGGGGAATGGGGGGCACTGGTGGAGACTGGGGGGCACTGGTGGACACAGCGGGGGGACTGGGGACACTGGTGGACACAGTGGGGGATTGTGGAGGACTGGAGGGATTGTGAGGGGACTGGGGGTAGTGGGAGTGAATGGGGTAACTGGTCTTGCTGGGGCAACTGGTATTACTGGAAGCAGTTACTGATGTTACTGGAATGTATAACTGGTGTTACTGGGAGAGGCTGCTGGTGTTAGTGATGTTACTGGGATGTGTTATTGGGATTGCTACTGATGCTCAGAAGCACAGGTGTTACTGGGGTTACTGGGATGTATTACTGGTCTTACTGGAGGTGTTACTGGAGTTACTGGGAGGTGTTACTGTTATTACTGGAATGTGTAACAGATTGCTGTGGTTACTGGGGTGTGTTACTGGGATTACTAGTTACTTGAGCTACTGCTGTTACTGGTGTCACTGGTGTGACTGCTGGCAATGGCTGGAGATGCTGTTGTGACTGGGGGTTGTTGGTGTTACTGGTGTCACTGGTGTGACTGGGATCACTGCTGGCAATGGCTGGAGGTGCTGTTGTGACTGGGGGGTTACTGGTGTTACTGTTGTCACTGATGTGACTGAGCTTGCTGGGGGGTTACTGGGTGTTACTAGGAGGTCACTAAGGGGTCACTGGGGTTTACTTGGTGTTATTGGGGGTCACTGGGGGGGTTACTGGCGGTAACTGGGGTTACTGGGAGGTGCTGTGGGTTGAGGTGTCTGTGTGTTTCTGTGTCCCTGTGGGTGTCCCTGGATGTCTCTAGGTGGATGTCCCCCCACAGGTGTCCCTGTGTCCCCCTCGGTGTCCCTAGGGGTGTCCCCCCCACGGTGTCCGTGTCCCCTTGTAATGGTCCCCCAGGTGTCCCTGTGTCCCCTGGGTGTCCCCTTCTGGTGTCCATGTGTCCCTGTGAATGTCCCCGGGGGGGTCCCTGTGTCCCTTGGGTGTCCCCACAGCTGTTCCTGTGTCCCTTACTGATGTCTAGGTGTCCCCAGGAGTGTCCCCTGCATCCCCCCGCCGTGTCCCTGTGTGCCCTGGGTGTTTCCCGAGTCACCCCACGATGTCCATGGCCCCCCCACTGTGGGTGTCCCCGGGTGTCCTCTAGGTGCCCCTGTGGCTGTCCCACGGATGTCCCTGTCCCCACTATGTGTCCCCCTGTTTCCCCCCAGTGCCCTCACACTTGTCCTCATTCCCCTGTGGTGTCCCAGTGGGTGTTCCCCAGGTGTCCTCCAGTGTCCCCACGCCCCATGTCCCCCTGTCATGTCCCCCCATGGGTGTCCCCTGGGTATCCCTGTGGCGTCCCTTTGTCCCCTGTGGGTCCTCCCCAGGTGTCCCCTTATGTCCCTAGGTTTCACCCCAGTGTCCTCATATCCCCTTGTTTCCCCACAGTGTCCCCACCACCTGTGTCCCCTGTGTCCCTCTGGGTGTCCCTCTAGTGTCCCCATGTCCCCTCATGAGTGTCCCTGTGTCCCCACGGATGCCCCTGTCCCCCCCGGGTGTACCCCTATGTCCCCACTTCTCCCCAAGTGTCCACAATATCCCCAGTGTGTCCCCATCTCCCCCGTGGGTGCCCCCTGGTTCTCCCAGTTGTCCCTCCCGGTGTTTCCCACCCCATGTCCCCCCATGTCCCCACGTCCCCATTATGTCCCCCTATGTCCCTCTGTGTCCCCCCAGGACGATGCCGGTGACCCTGGAGCTGCGGCTGCTGCTTCTGGTGCTGGCGCTGCGGCGGGGGGCGGGCACCCCCCCGGTGTCCCCTCCGATGTCCCCCCTGGTGACCCCCCCCGAGACCCCCCCCGAGTCGTGCGCGGCGGCGCTGGCGGCTGTGCTGGCACAGCTGCGGGAGCTCGAGGGACACGTGCGGGCACTGAGGGGACACTGTGGGGACACGGGGGGGCCCCAGGCCGGGACAGGTAACAGGGTACATGGGGGGCCATCGAGAGTCATTTGGGACATTGGGGATCACTGGGAGGTCACTGAAGGATCATTGCGGGGACATGGGGGAACACTGGGGTCATTGGGGGGTCTCGGAGGGTCACTGGGGAGTCCCGGGGGGGTCATTTGGGGGTCACAGGGGGTCATTGGGGAAGTCGGGGGAGGGTCACCCTGGGTCTTTGTGGGGTCACAGGGGATTCACTGGGGGGTCCCAGGGGGGTCTTTAGAGGGTCACAGGGATCATTGAGGGAGTCACAGGGGGTCACGGGGGTATCACAGGAGGTCATTGGGGGACTCACTGGGGGGTCCTGGGAATCATGAGGGTTCATTGGAGGAATCACGGGGGGTCGCTGGGGAGTCGCGGGGTCATGACCTCGTGTCCCCCCGTGTTTTCCAGGCCGGTCGGTTCAGCTCTGTGCCCCCCCCGCTGGGGGAAGCTGCGCCTGCCCCGCCCCCACGGCCGAGGCCCCGCCCCCTGCCCCGCCCCCCCCGTGCCCGCGGGGCTGCAGCGACCAGGGCCGGTGCGAGCGGGGCCGATGCCGCTGCTTCCCGGGCTTCAGCGGCCCCGACTGCGGCACCCCCGCCTGTGCCCCCGGCTGGGGGGGCGTCCACTGCGACATCGGTGCGTCTCCAGAGCCCGCACAGTGCTCCCAGAGCGTCCCCCGTGCTCCCAGAGCCCCCCAGTGCTCCCAGATCTGCCCCCCAGTGCTCCCCAGTGACCTGACTCCAACATCCCCGGCTGTTCCCCCGGCTTGGGGGAGTGGTCCAGTGCAACATCAGTGGGTCCCAATACCCCCCCAGAGCTCCCCAGTGCCCCCCAATGTCATCCCAGTGCCCCCATCCCAGTATCCGCAGTGCTCCCTCACTTCTTTTCCCATCCATGGGGGGTTCTTGTGCCACCTCAGTGTGTCTCCAAGGGTGCCTCCGTGCCCCTCCCAGGGCCCTCCAGTGCCCCATCCCTGGTGTCCCCATCCCCTGGTGTCCCCATGGTGTCCCCATGGTATCCCCAAGGTGTCCCAGGGTGCCCCCAGGGCAACCCATCCCATAGATGTCCCTGTGATGTCCCCCTGGTGTCCTCATGCTGTCCCCGTGCTGTCCCTGCAGAGGTGCCCGCAGTGACACCACGGTTGGCCACCCGCACCTCGACATCCCTGCGTGTCACCTGGCCTCGGCCCTCCCCACCTCCTGACGGCTACCGGGTGACACTTGTTCCCCTGGTGAGTGGGGACACAGGGGGGACACGGCAGGGGACATGAGGTGGACATGGGGGCCGGGGATGTGGGTAAGGGGGACAGGGACATTAGAAGAGTGAGATCCCCACACCACTTGTGTGACTGCAGTGGGCTGGCCCAAATGTGTCCCCTACATGTCCCCTACATGTACCCATGGTGTCCCCCATGCTGTTCCCTGCATGTCCCCAACATATCCCAAATGAGTCCCTCCAGTGTGTCCCCTCCTGGTGTCCCCAGTGTGTTCCAAACATGTGCCCAAGACATCCCCCCAACGTGTCTCCAACATGACCTCAGTGTGTCCCCGTGGTGTCCCCAGTGTGTCCCCAACACCTTCCCAGTGTGTCCCCATGTCCACAAAGTGTCCCTGCAATGTGTCCCCCCTGTGGTGTCCCCTGCCTGTCCCACACGTGTCCCCAGTGTGACCCCTAGTGTGTCCCCAGTATCCCCCCCAAGGTGTCCGCTTTGTCCCCTAACACTGTCCCCATCCCCAGGATGACCCCATGGCCATGACAACACATGAGCTGCCCGGCTCTGCTGTGGCCTTCTCGGTGACAGGGCTGTCCCCAGGCCGCCCCTTCGAGCTGCTGGTCCAGGCCCGGCGGGGGCCTCACCTGGGGGCAGCAGGAGTGCTGCGCCTGCGCACAGGTGGGGACAGGGGAGTGGGGATGGGGGTGGCACGGGGACAAGGATGGGGAGGGCCTGGGGTCTTGCGCCTGCACATGAGTGGAGACACCTGGGACAACTGGGACACTGCAGGGACAAGTGTGGGGGGGACAGAGATGGGGTTGGGGACACTGGGGACAGGGATGGGAGTGGGGATGGAGGGACAGACGTGGGGACAGAGGGTGGTATGGGGACAAGGATGGCACTGTGTCACAGTCAAAGGGACAGGGATGGCACAGGGGTGGGGATGGGACAGCAGTGAGGACAGTGTGTCATGGGACAGGGATGAGATGGCACAAGAATGGGGTTGAGGATAGCGATGGCATGGCCATGGGGATGGGGACAGGGATGGCAGGGGGACAAGGAAGGTGGTGGCATGGGTATGGAGACAGCGATAACAGGGACATGGGGACAGGGGTGGCACAGTGATGGGACAGGGATGGGAATGGCACAGGGACAGGGATGACACAGGGTTGGGGACAATAGTGGTATAGGGATGGCACAGGAAGGGGGACAGCGATGGAATAATCGTGGGTTTGGGGACAGTGTGGGGATAGCATGAACATGGGGACAGGGATGGGGACAGGGTTAGGGACACACATAGGGAGAGCATGGAGATGGGGACAGGGAGGGGGATGGCCCAGGGATGGGGACAGCGTTGGGAATGGGGACTTGGACAGAGCTGGGGCAGGGGTGTCCCCAGTGGAGACTCTTGGGACAGGTCAGTGACCCCAGTCCCCTTTGCTCCACAGCACTTGTCCTGGCCGTGCCCCCCCACGAGGGGTCCCCAGGGTCCCCTCAGGGTTCCCTGGGGTCTCCAGCAGTGGCACCATCAGCCCGAGGGTCCCCAGGGTCACTGGGGTCCCCAGGGTCACCAGCATCGCCTGCATCACCAGATGTGTCCTTGGGTTCACATGGGTCTTTGGGGTCACCAGCATCCCCCCAGGTTCCGGCGTCCCCCGTAGGTCGAGGGTCCCTGGGATCCCCGGCGCCCCCAAGGTCACCAGTGTCACCAGAATCACCAGTGTCACCAGAATCCCCAGAATCTCCAGGGTCACTAATGTCTCCAGAATTCCCAAGGTCCCCAGTGTCACCAGATTTCCCAGTGTGGCCAGCATCCCCAGAACCCCTGAGCTTCCCAGAATCACCAGTGACCCCAGTGTCCCCAAAGTCACCTCCAACCCCACAGTCCCTGGGGTCTCCAGTGCCCCCAAAGTCCCCATTATCTTCAGAGTTCCTAGAATCCCCATGGTCCCAGCTGTCCCCATGGTCCCCACTGTCCCCGGGTATCCCGTCACTGCAGGAACTGGTGGCTCGACTGTCCCCGTACAGTGGGTCCCTGCTCCAGCGCCTTGAAAGCCACCTTCGGGCCACCAACTTCCCACTCCGGGGCAACCAGACAGTGCCGACAGTGGCCCGTGCCATCCTGGAATATGTCCTGCGCCGGCACGTGGCCCTGGGGAAGGGACAGGGACCTCCCTCCAAACCCCGAGGGGATGGAACACTCCTGGGGACCACAGGTGGGTGACATGCTGGGAACAGGATGGGGGAACATTGGGAAGGAGTGTCCTGGGGAAGGGGGTGGGATGTCCTGGGGAAGGGGATGGGGGGAAGGGACACCTCAGGGGTGGGGGGGACAGGGATGGGACAGGGGCAGAACAGCGGGGATGGGGAGAAAGGGACATCCCAGTGAGTGGTCAGGGGATGGCGGGAGAGATGTCCAGGGGAGGGGAAGGAGGGAAAGGAGGGGAATGGGGGAAGGGAAGTCCCAGGGAGGAGGGCAGTTGAGGGATGAAGGGGATGGGGGAAGGGGACATCACAGGGGAGTGGCACAGGGGGGATGGGGGGATCGGGGAGGAAGGGACATCTGAAAAGAGAATGGGGGGGATGGGAGAGGAACATCCTGGGGAGGGAGATGAAGGAGATGGGGCAGAAGAGAAGTCATGTAACGCCTGTTCTGGGGGCAGGGGAGGGTGGGAATCAGGAGCTGGTGCTGCAGTGGGGGGACATGGATGGGATAGAGCTGATGGAGCCATGGAGGGACGTGGAGAAAACAGGTACCGACGGAGGGTGGGAGATGGGATGGAGGCATGGGTGGATGTTGGCTGAAGGATGGATGGATAGAAGGATGGAGAGTTGGATGATGGATGGAGACATGAAAGGAAGAGGAAACGGATGGAGAGAGGGAAGGATAAGGGGGGGAAAGGTGATGGGAGGGCTGGAGAGATGGATGATGGATGGACATGTGGATGGACACACAGATGTCCATGCCCACACCGTCCCCACTCCATTGCAGTTGCAGCCGAGGCAGAAGAGCTGCCCCCATCCAAGCCAGTCCTGGGTGACCTCACTGTCACCAGTGTCACCCCCAGCTCCGTGGGGCTGCAGTGGAGTGTCCCCGAGGGCCCCTTTGACTCCTTCACGCTGCAGTACCGGGATGCCCAGGGCCAGCCCCAGGCCCTGCCCATCGATGGCGGGTCCCGCTCGGTGATGGTGCCAGGGCTGTCCCCGTCCCGCCGGTACCGCTTCCACCTCTACGGGCTGCGGGGCGGGAAGAGGATCAACCGCGTCTCCATTGACATCACCACAGGTGAGGGGGAAGATCAGAGGGAGGAAGGATCGGAGAAATAAATTTAGGGACAGAGGGAGGGACAGAGAGATAAACACAGAGATGGATGATGGATGGGTGGGTGGAGGGTTGGATGGATTCATGAATAGAAGGATGGGCAGATTATCACAAGGATCATTGGATGCCAGGAGAACTGGACAATGATAGGATGGATGGAGAGTTGAGTGGATGGATGGTGGCTGAATGAACTCACCAGTGGGTGGAGGGTTGGATGGATTCGTGAATAGAAGGATGGGCAGATTATCACAAGGATTATTGGATGCCAGGAGAACTGGACAATGATAGGATGGATGGAGAGTTGAGTGGATGGATGGTGACTGAATGAACTCACCAGTGGGTGGGTGTGTGGTGGTTTGAGACCCCCTAAAATCCAATTCTCGAGTTCAAGCCCCCCCTCCCACATCTCAACCCAGTGTGAGATGGGTTTTCCAGACACTACAGAAGACTCAGTATGGGGGGAAAGGGAATTATATCACAATGCACTGTACAAATAAATATTACAATACATCATAATCTTTAACTATTTCTCCTATGATAAATCAGTATTTACAATGGATCAATCTCTTCTCCCTCCAAAAAAAGTCCAGAAAGGAAAAGGAAGGATCCTTTCCACTCTCAGAGCAGCAGTCTCTCTTCTTCCATGCAGTGGCTGTAGCTGGATCTCTTTCCAGATACACACGAGGGGGGTCTCCAAGCCCTTCTCGGCCCTTTGACTCCAAGCAAGGGTCTTTCTGTTCCGTGGACTGCATAGCAGGGACAAGGCTCGCCTCACCACGTCATATCATGAGGTGTAAGACATCCCATGAAGGTCTCTTCCTCGAGGGGTCAAGTTCCCTCGAGTCAGAACGTTTTGGCCAGCTTTCAGTTGAAAACCTTTGCGTCAAGAGTTCTCTCAGAGCTCCCGTGCTCTGTCTCAGGCTCATAGCTTAGCAGCAACAGCAGAGGGGCCAAGGTCACCCCCTCTGCATTCCATCTGGCCGTCCCAGTCCAGCTCTGTGACGCCTTGAGCTTCTTAGCTCCTCTCTTCGATGCATGCTGCACTTCAGGACTTCCCTCAAGTGGGAGTCCACCCCCTCCACTTAGGAGAGGTCACAAAAGGGTTTTGGGGGGTTTTGGTTTCAGTTCTTACCCCAATTCTCTCTGTAGAGTTTAGTTCTCTCTCTGCTGCTGCATGCTTGTTTGGCTGCTTCTTCAGTTCTTATCTCTTCTGGCTCTCTGCCACTGTTCTCCGGTCAGTGCTGTTTCTGCCGCTGTTTCTGCTGCTGATCCCAGTGGAGGAACTCCCCCCAGCTCTTACTACAGATACCTGGCCCAGTCTAACACCGTTCCAGGTTCCTGCAGCCCCCCAGCTGGGGGCTGGGGGGGGCCTAGCCCCCAACGGGACTCTGGGCCCCTTCCTCGTGGCTTAGAACATGGCCACTCTCCTCCAACAACAACTACCACCCTTCTTTTCTGGTCTGGTTGTTGATATGTTTATATTTCGCAGGAGCGCTCATTGGCTCAACCCCAAGGGTCACCACCCCCTGGGGGTTACCATTTTTCTAACTCCAGGGGGAAAACTATTTTTTCCTCCACCACAGGGTGGAAGAGGCCTGTTTGGATGGATGCATGGATGGATGGAGGTAGCCAGAAGATGGTCCAGGAGATGGAGTTATGTTGGGAAGGATGGATGGATGATAGATGATGGATGATTGTGATTGTTGGTCAATAGGCATGTGGGAAGTATCAATCATTGAACAGATGCTTCCTGGGATTGGTGGGTGCTTGATGGTGGATGATGATGTGGTTGGGGAGAAGGAGCGATGAGAGGAACTGGGCTGGGAAACTGGTGACAGGTTGAGGATGGGGAGATGGCTGTGACCTTGGGAGGGTGCAGAGATGGAGGGATTGGTGGTTGGTTGGATGGCTGGATGATGGATGCTGATGGTGGATAATGCTGAAGATGATGATGTATGGTGAATGGATGATGATGGTGGTGATGGTGATGGTGGATGCAATGGGCATTGGTCAGTAGGTTGGTGGAAAGGTAGAAGGTTGATTGGATGGTGCTGGGGTCAGTGGATGCTCGATGGTGGGTGGGGATGGGATGGTGGGGAGAGGGTGGGGGTAGACAGTGGATGATGGATAAAGGATAGCTGGGTGGATGTTGGATAGGCATGTGGATGGACATGTGGCTGCAGATGTTCATCACCTTCCTCTCTCCATTGCTGCCACAGCTGACTCAGATGATCTGCCCCCACACTCGGTGGACCCCCCAGCTGAGGCCCCCTCAACTGAGGCACCCCCAGCTGAGGACCACCAACCTGAAAGATCCCAAACTGAGCCTCCCCCAGCACGAGCTGTGCTGGGGGAGCTGAGGGTCTCCAGCATCACCCCCAGCTCCGTGGGGCTGCAGTGGAGCGTCCCCGAGGGCCCCTTTGACTCCTTCATGCTGCAGTACCGGGATGCCCAGGGCCAGCCCCAGGCCCTGCCCGTCGATGGCGGGTCCCGCTCGGTGACAGTGCCAGGGCTGTCCCCGTCCCACCGGTACCGCTTCCACCTCTACGGCCTGCGGGGCAGGAAGAAGATCGACCACACCTCCATTGATGTCATCACAGGTGAGGGGGAAAATGAGAGGGATGGAGGGATCAAAGGATGGAAGGATCAAGGGATCCTATCATGATGACATCCCCACCTGCCATTATCCACCATCATCTTCATCATCTGTCATCCACCATCATTGTCATTATCTACCCTCCATCATTATCATCAGCATCCAGCATCCGTCATCATCATCATTCCTCAATCACCTTCCATCATCCATCCATTGTCATAACAATCCATCACCATCATCATCTTCCTTTATCACTGCCTATCCATTATGGATGAAGAATTGAATGGCTGAATGGATTCCGGACTCGATGGTGGGTGGGTTCCTGCCCAGATGGATGGTGGAAGGTGGATGGGTGGATGAGTGTTTGGATGGATTTGGGAAGCTGGGATGGCTGTAGGGTTCCTGGCAGCCCAATGCATGTCATGGTGTGTGGAAGAGCGTCCATGGGATATAGGCGATGGGAGTGTTGGAAGCCTGGAGAGAGTGGGGAGAAGGATCTGGAGAGACAGATGTGGGAGTGGTTGGAGACTTCGGATGGGTGTTGGGTAGTAGATGGGATAGATGGATGGATGGATGAATGGTCAAATGGCTGTTTATGGATGGATTAGCACATGGATGGATGGGTGATAAATGATGGATAATTGGGTGGTTGATGGATGGACAAGCAGATGTCCACATCCATCCCTATCCCATCTGTCACAGCCACAGCTGAGCAAGAGAAGCCACCACCACCCCCAGAGGAGCCCACACCTGAGCACCCCCAAACTGAGCCTTCCCCATCTGAGGCCCCCCCAGCACGGGCAGTGCTGGGGGAGCTGAGGGTCTCCAGTGTCACCCCCAGCTCCGTGGGACTGCAGTGGAGCGTCCCCGAGGGCCCCTTTGACTCCTTCACGCTGCAGTACCGGGATGCCCAAGGCCAGCCCCAGGCCCTGCCCATCGATGGCGGGTCCCGCTCGGTGACGGTGCCAGGGCTGTCCCCGTCCCGCCGGTACCGCTTCCACCTCTATGGGCTGCGGGGCGGGAAGAGGATTGATCGTGTCTCCATTGATGTCGCCACAGGTGAGGGGGAAGATCAGAGGGATGGATTGATCAGGGAATGGAAGGTTGATGGGATCCAATCCCCATCCCATCCCCGCATACCACTGAGAACCCACTGACCCCAGCACCATCTGATCAAACCTCAACCCTTCCACTTACCTATTGACCTACACCTGCTGTTTTCCACCATCATCTTCATCAATCAATCATCCATCTTCTGTCCATCGTCATCATCATTGTCCATCCACTATCATGGTCATCCATCATAATGGATGAAGAATTGAATGCCTAAACTGATTCCTGACTGGATGGTGAGTGGGTTCCTGCCCAGATGGATGGAAGAATGTGGATGGGTAAATGAATAGTTGGATGGATGTGGGGAAGCCAGGATTACTGGAGGGTTGCTGGTGGCCCAATGCGTGTCCTTATGCATGGAAAATTTTCCATGGGTAATGGGATGGAGGTCTAGTGTAGAGGTAGAGGTCTGGAGGGATGTGGGGGGAAAGAGCCAGAACAATGGAGGTTGCATTGGGTGGAAAGATGGGTTGAGTGTTGAATGATGGATGGGATGGATGGATGAATGGATATTTATGGATGGATTTGGCACATGGATGGATGGGTGGATGGACATCTAGATGGATGGATGAATGATGAATGATGGATAGTTCAGTGGATGATGAAAGGACATATGGATGGAGAGATGGATGGCCATGCCCATCACCACCCACTCTCCATCACAGGCACGGCTGAACCAGAGGAGCTGCTCCTGCCCTCAGAGGAGCCCCAATCTGAGCACCCCCAAACTGAGCCTCCCCCATCTGAGACCCGCCCAGCGCAGGCGGTGCTGGGGGAGCTGAGGGTCTCCAGTGTCACCCCCAGCTCTGTGGGGCTGCAGTGGAGCGTCCCCGAGGGCCCCTTTGACTCCTTCACGCTGCAGTACCGGGATGCCCAGGGCCAGCCCCAGGCCCTGCCCATCGATGGCGGGTCCCGCTCGGT